AGACGTGTGCTCTTCCGATCTCCCCAAAACCCCAAAACCCCAAAACCCCATCAGTCGGTAAAAAAATTTAACTATGAATTAATAAATTTTTAAGATAGATTATATGATTCAAAAAATGGATCATGACCATTATAAATTGAGAGGACAATAGAATTAGACAGATATTCAGCAACAATTTAATTTATTGCAAAACAACAAGAAATTTTCTTTAAACAAACATCCTGCAATAGAAAAAGCAGAAGAGGCAGCTTAATAAGCTTCTTAAATGGCTTAAAACGTAAGCAACTTAATACAGAAATAAAATAATTTGCAGTCTTAGTAGCCTTCAATAAATGAGAATTATCAGCGGTATAGTTCAGGATAGAATTATAAATCTCCTAATAAATTTGGTACTAATGTTTATAATCCTCCTGCTGTAATAACTAATAATAATCTGAATGATTCATATATTCAGAAATAGGGGGAATACTAGCAGCAACAGTCTATCCCAATGTCGAATAGAAAACGTGATTAAAGCAATAGTGTCCGAGGTGTAGGCCAATAAATAGCAGGAATAAATAACAGCATGCGTATTGACTCCAGAGATGAAATACATAATGTTCCATATGAGATGCAGCCTAAAAATAAGGCTATAATAGTATAGCAAAACATGAATATAGACTTGAAAGCATATGGAGACAATAATAATAGGGTAGTTATAAGTAATGGTGGATCAGGAAATGGCTTAGCAGGTAACATAGTAGTTAATCAGTATTCAAATAATATAGCTGGAATCAATAATCAGTATTCAGCAAAGAATCATACATCTCACAACTCAAGTAGAAACGATATTGATATGACTGATGAGTATAAAAAACGAGATCATTCAGAGTCCTCTAAATAAAATCTCCCTTTATATTTATAGAAAATGAAAGTTGTAATTGAAACTTAAGTATTTTAATTATGAATTATAGGCTTCTGACATCTACAAAGTAGACGAGGAGAAACAGAAATTAGCATAAATAAGCAATCCTGACTAGTAGCAAATATAGATTGACCGGTAGTAATTCGACACTTTCAGCTAGAGAGCTTAAAAAGCAAAGAATCAATCTTATGGCTATAGTATTAATGACGGCCAAATCATATCGTAAAAATAAATTCAATCAAGTCATAATCAAAGGAGGAAGCATAGTTTATCATCCAATAGTAATTATTAAATAAAATAAAATTATAGGAGTTAATCAAGACAATATGTATCAGCGATAATAAATAGATGTCAGCCACATTTAAGCCCACATTGAGGATAATCCAGGAGCTGACTAAGATTTCGCAGATTTAGAGGAAAGTCTTCCCAGCGATATTTCAATCGATCTTGACCATCAAGTTGATGGGAGTGATGTCTCTGATTTTGATGAAGAAAACGAAAGAAGGCAGTTCTAAATATAATAATAATAGGTGTAAGGTAATAGTAGAGATAGATCTAACACGAGAAATCCTGCTAAATTAGATCAAATCTAATCCAACAAGCTTAGTAGGAAAGAATCGTCTGTTTCAAGAGTTAGTTAAACTAAATAGAGTAACTTAGGTCTAAATCTTGAGAAGCTTGACTACTTAAATGCAGATATATCACCTATAGAGAAAGTTCAAAACTTCCTATAAAATAACCCACTTTGTCATACATTTATTCGAAAAGAAAAAGGTAGATTACCCTACAGTGTATTCAAGCCACATGCAGAAGAAGTTTACTTCTTAAAATCAATATTTGATAAAAGACCTCCAACAGCATTCTTTCCTTATCCAAAATATTGCAAAACTCCACGCGAATCTGAAAGAATAAGACCATATCATAGAAATGAAGTAGAATACCTCTTCATGGCTTTTAGAATAAATGACTCTACTCATATTTATAATGCTGTTGTAAATGCTTTTAAAAATTCTGGTTTTCAATTGATTGAAAACAGCTCTTATTGGAATGTTCTTTGGACAGGCTACACAAAGCATGAAGAAATACGAGAATTCAATAAATACCAAAAAGTGAATCATTATCCAGGGTCTATTTAGCTTGGAAGAAAGGATATGCTTTGGAAAAATATGTATAGACTAAAATAAAAATATGGGAGAGAGTATGATATTACCCCAATGACTTACTTATTCCCTGAAGATTATAACAGATTCTAGCAAGACAGAGAGGTCGAGGAAAATAATGTCCTTTACATTTTAAAACCAGTAGCTTCGAGCTGTGGGAGAGGAATTAAAGTTATAGGGAAAAAGACTAAAATTGTGAGAAAAGAAGGATATTTAGCATCAAAATATGTCTGCAAACCTCATCTAATAAATGGATTTAAGTATGATCTAAGAGTTTATGTGCTTGTTTCAAGTTATGATCCTTTGAGAGTTTATGTTTATAATGATGGTCTAGTAAGATTTGCAACTGAAAAATATACTCTAAACCCAAATGACTTAAAAAAGAGATTTATACATTTGACTAACTTCTCTGTGAACAAAAAATCTGAGAACTTTAAGTAGAATAAAAACACAGAAGAAAGCGAAGAAACTTCTAGTAAATGGAGCTTTAAAGCTCTAAGAAAAGCATATGAATAAAGAGATATCAATTTCGATTATGTATTCGCCTAAGTCAAGGATGTCATTGTGAAAACTCTTATTAGTGTTGAGCCTCATATAGTCGGTAATCTGAATAAAGCTACTGGGTCTCGAAATACTTGCTTTGAGCTATATGGATTTGATGTATTGATAGATAAAAATTTGAAGCCATGGCTGCTTGAAGTAAATGTCTTGCCCTCGTTGAGTAGTTCTTCTCCATTTGATAAAACCATAAAGACAATGCTTATATGTGATGTACTGACATTGATCGGTATTAGAGGCTATGATAAAAAGAAAGTGCATTCTGGTCCAGAAGAGGATCGAAAAATCGCTAGTAAGATTAACTTTCATTAAATTTATTAGAGGAATTAAAAAGTATGTCACTAGAATAAGTAATGGAACAGAGAGTGCTTACTGGTGAGGAAAATCTGACAGCAGATGAGATGTCAATGCTTATGGACCATGAAGAGGAATTTTCTAGGAAAGGTAGTTTTTCAAGAGTCTTTCCACTAGCTGCAAATGTTGACTATTATGCTAAGTTTTTTGAGATACAGCGTTATCATAACAATCTATTATGGGCTTACATTCGCGGCGGGTAGTCTAGCTAGCAAATTATCAGCAGACACTATAAAAGAGTCTATAATGTTAATGTATGATGTAAATTTAGTTTGTATTGAGTATTAATTTAAATAATGCACATCTATTTTAATCAGAATTAGTTAAAAAATTTAATTTATGGCTGGAATTATTAAATCACATCTTATCAGTGATTTCCTAGGAGTTTTAAGGGGTGTTCATATTATGCATTCCCAAGCATAAGTGTTGCCAAATCAAAGGAGGGTTTTATTGCAGAGGTAACTGACACCTTAGTAGAGATTAGATTTATCCAGAGAGAATTAAGATAATCTAGATTTTCTTGATGAAACATAACAAGCATAGACAGAAACATAGAATGATATTCCGAACATCGAAGAGAAGAAAACTCTAGATTAATCTATTACCTAAACTCTTAAGACAGTTGTTGTTGAAGAGACTAAAATCAACATTCCTCATTAGCAACCAGAAGTTCATCTAAAAGTAGAACAAAAAGTAGTAGAGACTACTTATAGTGTTACAGGTGCAAATTCTAAAGAACCTGAGATTTAGGTTGAGACAGTAAAACAATAAGTCATTGAAGATCTAGGAGAAAGTTCATTTGGAAAAAGTCAACAATAAAACACTAAGGTTGTTGATGATGATAATACAGTAAGAAAACCTAGATTCAGTCTTAATTATATTCTATAGCCATTCTTCATGAAGCAGGACAGACCTAAGTTTTCAGCATAAGAGAGATATGTTCCTGCTAGCTCAACATCAAGAGCATTTCAATTTGGACTATTAGGAGTGCAGCTAATTAGTGGTACAGTTAAGGAGGCAGTCAAGCATTCACTTGTATACTATTTTACGAATAAATCTTAAATTAGGGAATATCAGATTAGCAAGACACTAAACTCACAGGAATTGTTAAGTATGCTGCTAATGCTAATAATGCTGATAAGCTGTAAAAGACTTTCAGAAAAATGAGAGGAGCAGTCTTGAAGTTAGGTTAAATACTGAGTACTTCTGAGGAGAGTATTGTGCCTCCTGTTATTAGAGACGCTATGGAAAAAGCAAGATCAGAAGCTGATATAATGCCTGTGAAATAAGTCATTAAGATTCTTGAAAAAGAGCTAGGGTCTGAATGGCAGAAGAATTTCAGAGAAATTAATCTTTATCCTTTCGCTGCTGCAAGTGTTGGTCAGGTCCATGAAGCAATTTTAAAAGGTGGACAAAGAGTAGCTCTCAAGATTTAATATAACGGAGTTGGAAATAGTATTGACTCTGACCTCAATAACTTTAAGAGATTAGTCACTTGTAAGGTTAATGGTTTAAATAATTATTATAGTGTTTGGAGCTCCAAGAGGTCTTTATCTAAATGAATTAGTCGAGACAACAAGAATGGAACTATATTGGGAGACAGATTACCTTAGAGAAGCAAAGTATCAAAATGCTTATGGAGAAAGACTAAAGAATTATCATGATGAATACTATTGCCCTAAAGTCTATGACGATTTGGTCACGAAGCACATTCTTTGTACTGAATTTATAGATGGAGTAGAGATAGATACTATCCTCAATGAACCTTAGCATGTCAGAGATAGAGCTGGATCTCTGCTCCTTAAGTTGTGCTTTAAGGAATTATTTGAATGGAAAATCATGTAGACCGATCCTAATCCTGCAAACTTCTTGTACGACCTCTAGAAGTAAAGACTTCATCTTTTGGACTTTGGATCTGGAAGAGATTTCGATTAATTCTTTTTGGATGGCTACATTGAAATTATCCATGGAGCATTTATTCAAAACAAAGAGAAGGTAATGGAAAATTCACTGAAGCTCAAGTTCCTAACTGGAGAAGAAAATAAAGAAATGCTCAATGCTCATTATGCTGGAGCACTTGCTATTGGAGAACCTTTTAGACATAGTGATGGACTTTATGACTTTGGAAATCAATAGATCACCAAGAATATCTATGAAATTATCCCTGCCATGTCAAAGCATAGATTAACTCCTCCTCCCAAAGAAATATATTCACTTCATAGAAAAATTATGGGAACGTATTTAATGTGCATAAAGCTAAGAGCTCAAGTGCCAGCTAAGAAGATATTTGAGGATACTTATGATGCTTGGCTCAAGTCAGCAAAAGTAATCTGATAAAGATGAATTCAGTAAATAGCAATAAGTGATATTATTTATTTAATAACCTTAATTCAATTGGTATTTATTCTTTTGGGGTTTTGGGGTTTTGGGGTTTTGGGGTTTTGGGG